GTACTTGGCTTGCTCACATTTAGATGCTGCACCCTATAGCATGATAAAATGCACCCATATTTCATAATAAAGAGACGTTTTTAGCTATGAACATTTTAAAAAATTATTTTAGAGATGGGGTCTCACTATGTTGTCTAGGTTGGTCTCAAACTCCTATCCTCAAGCAATCCTCCTGCCTCAGCCTCCCAAATAGCTGGGACTACGAGTGTGCTCCACTGCACCCAGCCATGAAAAATTTTGAAGGTTTTTTTGGTTGAAATATTTTTAAATTAGTGTGCATTACTTGTTTTAAAATCACTTTTTGTCAGATCTAAAATGTTTTTCTCTGCTCTTATATAGTTCATAAGCCCTAGGACCATGCATTTATTACCGGAAGGATAAAACAACTGTGTCAGTGTTGATCAAAATTCTAGATATTGACCTTGAGTGTTTGATGTACCTAGTGATGGCAAAATTATCTGTAAAGCTTTTGTAATCTGAGATAGAATTTTCAAGAGAAAAGTGAAGTAGCAGTATCATGAATACGTGGTTAGAGTGGAGTACGACTCACCTGGTTGTACGGTTCCCCCCGAAGTGATGACAGTGGTGTAGCTTCCACACATCTGATCTGATTGGTCCAGATCAGCAAATGGAGGCCCCACAGCAACAGCTAGGTGGCAGCATCCTGATTCCAGGGGTGCCTCCATTCAGGACATGAGCTGGCAGATGGCAACAGACAGGTTGTCAGGGCCCAAACAAGCAGGCTGTAGTCCAGGGTAGGGCTCCAGCACCCTTAAGGAACTGTAGAGCAAATTAGGAACACAAGCAGAAATCATACTCACACAGACTAGGCACTTGGTTGCAGTCAGGGGTAATGTTCAGCCCACTGGCTCAAACGTAACCAGAGTCTCCCCGAGACTGGTCTCCCTGGTCAGAGTCGAGCAAGCAGACAAGATCAAGTTCTCTCACACCTCATCTGTGGAACTTTGACGAAAGTTCACAGACCCTCTAGGAGATGAGCCCATTCGTTCTAGAGCAGCACACAGAGGTCTAGCAGGGGCAGATGTCAGAGCCTGGGAGAGAGGAGACTTTTTAAAGGATGTGAATTAGGGATGTACCAGCTCTTTCCCTGGTGTGATCTGAGGCTGGGGCACAATAGCAAGATGATGGGTCAGAGCCTTCATTTCAACCCTGTCCTGCTGGGTCAGCACCGGCCCCTGCCCTGGCATGATGGGGGGACTCAGGTCCACACCTTGCAGCTGTAGCGTTATTGGTGGGGCAGGAGGCACTCAAACTAGCAGTGGTGTCTACCACATCAGCATTCAATAGTTGAGGAAGCACTGGCACTTTCCTCTCTCCCCTTCCCATCAATGGTTTAGGAAGTAGCCTTGCTTTTGACCAAATTAATGGACTTAAGCATTAATTAATTAGCTGGTTTCCATGGAGCCTTGCAGAAGGCCAGTCTCTTTTCTGGTGGGTTATACTGGAAGGATCAGTCGTGGACAAGTTAATCCTTCATTTCAGTCCACCTTTTTGTCTGTTCCTCCCTGGTCCCTTCCAATGGGTGGCTTCTAAGTATCATCTCCCACTCTGGCAGCAGCCCATTCCATGTCAACACATTAGCTCTGAGTCTAGTTACTGACTTCACTGTGAGAGACCAGGAGGATGATTAGGTGGTGACAACTCCAGGGTACTGAGAATATTCACTGAAGACTGGCAGGGAAGACCATTGGAAGAAAGGTTTAGGGGCCAGGCATGGTGGCTCACACCTGTAATCCCAGCACTTGGGAGGCTGAAGCAGGAGGATTGCTTGAGGCCAGGAGTTGGAGACCAACCTAAGCAATGTAGTGAGACCTCATCTCTACAAATAAAAAAGGCAGGGGGAGTGGGTTAGGAAGTACACATTTTCCGGTTCACAACACCCTCATCTGTGACTTTAACACAGGGATTAAATAAAGTTTAACCAGGATTTACAGCATTGATCCTAATTCTTGGAGAACTTTTGAAGAAGGAAAGAGTTATCATGGTCCGCTTGCTCAGTTCAGGTCCTGAAATTTATTGTTGACAGTCAGTTTTGTGAACAGACACTACTACAGATAGTGTATCTCAGTGTGGCTTGCCAGGAGGCCAGATGGCACCAGGAGCAGCGTAGTATGGTGAAGACACACTGGCATGACTACCAGCTCTCCCCTGAAGCATCCTAGAATGGAGGGCAGGCCCAGCAACAGATCTGTGGAGGAGGCCAGCTCTACAGGGGCCTGTTCCCTTTGCTATTTTGATCTCATAGAGAGGAATTAG